CCCCAAAACCCCAAAACCCCAAAACCCCAAAATAAATCTTAATTATAGAAATGTCTCAAAATAGCGTGAAAACCTCAATATCAATCCAGCACCAGAGAGAAGCAGAAGCCTTAAGAAAGAAGCTTGAAAGAGTAAGGTTAGGGTCATTCTTTAGAATAGAAGAGACCAGATTGAGAACAGGCTTAAGGAAATTACTAAGAGGAATTCTTTGATATAAAGTTGAAATCTGAACAACTTCGAAGCCTGAATAAAGAGAAGAAGTTGCATAGCATTAGGAAGAACTTCAAGAGGAAATTAACTCAGAATATGAAGGATTATGAGCAAATAAAGCGTAATCAGAAGGTGAAGAAACTTCAAGAATTGCTTGAGACCCACATTTGAGATATCCATCAGCTCCGTACAACAGTTTCTTATTTTATAGAAGCAATGGTCGAAGAGAGGAAAGAAGAAGAAAGAATTCGTAAGATGAAGGCTGAAGAGGAAATACGGGAAAAAGCCAAGAAGAAAAGTATGCTACTCGCACACCAACAGCCCCTTAGAAGCACGGGAACCTCCACAGACCTTATTTTCAACCAACGGTCCAAGCATTTCAGAAGGTATCATAATGAATTGTTAAGGTCTTAGGTTTACAGTTGACAATCACAATTTTCCAGAATATGGAGGTAAAACATCTACAATTTCAATAGAAGATGTCAGGCAAATGACAATTGAAAAGCAAAAAGAAGAGCTTAACTATTTTTACGGCTCCAGAACCTTCCAATTAATGAAGAATTTATCTGAAAACCAAATAAAGAAATATTATGGAGCTGGAAACATTGCTTATGATGGCAGCTATGAGTTTAAATGGCTCAGGGAATACAAAAGATGTAATTTACGTATAAATTTTAGTCATAAAAAGCCACCTGAAAGATGATCAGAGTACATCACAAAGCTCCAAGGATTTCGACGTCACTCAGAACTACGAGCAGCAGAAAGAAGCGGAATGGATAATCAGGCAAAAATACAAGTTAATGCGTGCTCTTAAATAAAGTATACACCCGACCTAATTGTGACATAGAAATGGGAGCAAAGTCAACAAGCAGAAATGTTAAAATAATGATCAGCCTACTAAACAGCTAATAAAGAAGCCAAATTTGTATAAGCGTATGGAATCAACTACAATTTCATTTGAGAAAATACCATTGCTTGACAAGAAAGGAAAATCCAAGAAGGAAGTAAATGTAGAAGCTCTCCATACGATATACAGCATAAAATCTGATGGAAACATACAAGAGAAAGGTCAATCTCGCTCAGTTTCAACAAATACTGGACCGGATATTGTTCATATGCTGGATAATCTGAAATCTCAAGTTTTCCCTGATTCTAAAATCAAACGAACCCAAAAGTCTATGGATTTGCCAAAATCAAAGAAAAATCCTGATCTAGCCCTCAAAAATTCAAATATAGATGATAAATTAGATATGAAAGCCAGAAGAAAACGCAACATAGAGAGGTAATTCCACTCTCAACCTTTAGAAGGAGCCATTTGACTATAAAAGATACAATCCTAAAGAACACCTCTAGCCACTCAATCTACAAAAACCAAGCCTCCAACACCTAAAAAGAGGCGTAACTTTTCCCTATCCTCCAATAACCCCACTACCAAAAACAAAGACCTAAAATCAATCGTCAATACACATACAACCAACAAGTCAGCCCAAAATCTGCCAAAACTTTCTAAAGGTAATCTCCTATTTTCTTCCTGAATCTCTGCTTCTAAAATCCAGTCTTCTTCGGGTATATTTTTAAGCTGGGTACTAAATTTTGGGTAGAAATTGGGCAGCCGAAATTCCCTGAAATCAACATAAAAGACAACTTCAACCCCTACATAAACTACAACCCCACTCGCCCCTCCCCCGATCCCATCCTTGCCAACAAGAGCATGAGCTTGCTCTCTCTCAGTCAGATCTCCTCTCCAGACTCCCTCGAATCCACTTCCAAAAAGTACGCCAACTCCTTAAACCCCCTTCCCACTCCCTTATCCACCCACCCTCTATCCCACTACCAAACCGTTCATTTCCAAATTTCAGCCTAAAACTTCCTAAATTTCCTCTAGAAGCCCACTTGGGGCTTGGCTGGGACGAAAGTTAGCTGGGAAATTTCTGCTTGCATTTTTGGAGAAATGGGAATTTTTGTTCGTGAGCCTGAATTTGGGGTTTTGAGTGTATGAATTATAGGAATCAAAGGACTTCATCGGATTCGGACAATGTGTTGAAGTATACGTTTAAAACTAAGGTTTTGGAGACGACTAATAGGAGTTTATTGATGAAGATTAGGTAAGTTTTAGTGGAATAGAGTTGATTAGAATGAATAAAAATTAGGGATTTTATATGATTGTAGTAAATCAGCGAAACAGAAAGATATAATAGTTAAAAATAAAAGATAGAACCTAATAGTTTAAAATAACACTTTTATCAACCCTATAAAACACTCTCTGTCCTTCTGATTCCCTCTTCATCCCATAACCTACAGACAAAAACAATCAGTCTCAAAACAAATCCAACAACTCAACTCTGAACTAAGTAAACCCCTCTATTTACCCATAGGCCCTCGATTCCGCCTCTCAAAACTTGATCTCGAAGACATTGAAAACTCCAGAGTACTCCGACCAGGAGAGTGGGGTGCTAAGCTCTCAGTCCAACTCATGAGGAATATTAAGAAGGAAGAACGGAGGAAGCTCTATTATAAGAATAGAGTGAGATACCTGAAGAGGAGTAATAGGAAGGAAAAGAATAAATCAGTAGGATTTTAATAAAAAAATTTAAAGGCTAAATTGGATTTTAATAGATTTTCAAGATTTTGAGGTTTGGAGGGGTTTTGGGGTTTTGGGGTTTTGGGG